GACAAGAAAGGCTAAATCAAAATTAATAAATAGTTCATATTTTTGTCTGCAGTATGCAACTGTGATGTATTTTTTTTATTTGTATATTGTTGTTTGGCAACAATTTTTAATAAATAAAGAGGCTCCAATTTTTTTTATTTTAATTTGATGTGTGAATTGGTCAAAATTTAAACATGTATAAATGAGGTATTAGCTATACAATGCAAAAATTTAAAACCTTCTATAATACTTATTTACAATTATGTTTGCTTATTTTTTATTAGAAATAATAAGATTACTAGCAAAATGTAATTTATTTCTTTGGCTAGGCCTGACCAAAATTTGTATGAATTGAGTATGATTTTTTTCCATTCTTTCGTAAGATCATCAAGCCATGTAGTACTTAAACCACTCTTTATACCATGATGGTTGCATATCACAAATATAACATGCTTCCGATTCTCTTTAACGAGTAAAGTGTTTTCGAAGATAAAATTAACGAATTCAGAGGTTATTTGAGAATTAATTGTGGAAAAATGCCGATAGAGAAAGACGAAGATTTATTATAATATATTAATATTACAATATTAAATGTGATGATTGGATGACAACAATCTTATTTCATTTCTTTTATCTTTTTGTGGCGTAAAATAAGTTGAACTCATAAAATCCGCTTTACAGTGATGGGGTTTTGAAATTATTTCAGTGTGAAAAATATTACTAAAAGGATCTGAGTCCTTATTAAGACACAATAATGCTTCTGCTTTGTGAACAATACTTTCCTAATATTTAAAAACATTATAAATAATTTATCATAAATAAACGTTAAAAAATCCAGTTTCCTACCTTAAAGAAATATAATGCTTCCAAAGTTTGTTTCAGAACAGTAATATCATTGATTTGAGTAGGAAACCTTAATAGTGGCCCTTCAAAACCGAAATACAATCCATTATCTAATAAGTCAACACCAATTATTTGACCATATAGAGCTAAGTAATAAAATAGAACCAAAAGCATAAATAACTATGAAACATATTGCAATGCGTAATATGTGTTAAAGCCATACCTGCTAACTGCAACCCAATGACTGCAGAATTTTTGATTATTTCATCGGACAGATCATGTGAAAGATATTTATCAAGAACTGATTTATTTGTTCTAAGGCATTTACTGCGATCACTAATAATTTTAGTAGGAGTTGTTCTACGAGCGCACTCAGAGTGGCTAAGCTCCACAATTTTTCCCTGATTTTTTCCTCGGCATATAACTTGTAAGTCGATTTTTCTTCCAACCGCTGTTGCTTTCGAAACCGTTTCTCCCCTGCAAGTATTTATGATTAGAAACAATAATTGATAAACATCCTAGAGAAAACAAAACATTTACCATTTAAGATGAACAAGATGTTGAACATCGGAAAATATTATATCTATTATTGGACCTGCAACTTTGAGCACGAATTCAATTTCTGTTAAATTTTGTTTATTTCCTTCCTTATCCACGAAAATAAAGGGGTCTATTAGGAACATCTCTAAACTAATTATAAATTAAAATCAGTTTAACAACCAATGGGAATATTACTGCATAATATGATAACCGACTAGTTCTAAAATCAAGAATATTTAAGCAAGTATCATTATTATTAAATGTTTTAGGTTTCGATTGAAACCTGATGAATATGGGGTCCTCTGTGTAAATATCAGCCGATTCATATTTATAAGTAATTGGATTACGTGCGAATGTTGATTGATTTGCCATGTTCAATAATTGTGGTGTCGAATTTAGTAAACAATTTAATTATTTGTTTG